GGGAGTTTGAGGCAGTATTAGACTGTTGTGTAGGGGTTGGGTGTTAGTATAGTGTTAGGCCATACTGCTAATAATTTTGTGTTCTTCCATACATTCAGAATTAATTATTTGTATTTATTTTTTATTAAGAGGACAAATATTTAAATATTAAGAAAATAAATTTTAAAAAATATAAATAAATTAAAAAGTTATGATTATAATTTGTATATTATTTAATTAGTTATACAATTTACATTTACTTCTAAAAAATAGCCACTACAGTTGTAATGCCCTCCTTTAGTGGGTTCAAGATTGCATTACAAGTGTTTAGAGAGAAAGAAGTACGTAAAATCATCCCACTTTGTATTATGTAAGTTATGGCTAACTCCCACATTATTTTCATTGCCTAAGCTGTAATTATACTCTTTTCTCATTGCTTCATTGGAAAATAATGATGATGGAGAGTGGTTTTTGGAAGGAGCATGTGGCAATTATCCTGGATGCCATAAATTTAACAAAAAATTATACACATTTGTATATGTCAAGAATTAAAATTAGTATGTCCTTTAATTGTGAACAATATTAGGAATGAAACTATTAAATTAGTGGAATATTAAAACATTTATCTTAATTTATTCAGAATGTTTTTTAATTAAGAATGGGAAGAGAAAGGAAGGGAAGGGAGAGTAGGGTAGGATACCAAATTATATTTTGCCCCATGCACCAAAGCCCAAAGGCTAGTCCATGTGAAAACTATATATTTAATACGTTCTTATGAAGTTTCAAAATGCATTGAAAGTTACCTTGATGAAAAGAACGGAGAAAAAGAAACAAGTGATTGGTAGATGGAGAATATGTATCAGAATTTACTAATGGGAGAGTCTGATAAGTGGTAATTTCATTTATAAAATTCATATTTACTTTACCTAGAAACAGTGCTGATTGTGAGAGGCTGTATTGGCGGGAGTAGATATCTGAAATAGTGTCAATACTAGAACTAGTGCTTAATTCATTATAAACGTGATCTGTTGAAGCCAACACTTGGTCAAAATAAATAAGTACATAAACAAACAATAGTTATTTATGAATCAAGGGCATTATAAGGGTTCTAATGATCCAGTGATGACCAAAAGTCTGAGAGCTTTTTTTCTTCCAAGGTCAAGCAATAATGTACAACAAACAATAAAGTATCAGTAAAGAAAACAATTTAATATATTTGAAGTGAAGAATTTTGGCTGGCAGGTAATAATGATCTCAATATTTTTAAAAGCAAAATCATTCCAGAAATATGAAAGATGGTTAGTGATTTTTTTTGTTTTTGACAGGCATGTTACAATGCATATGAATTTACTTGTAAGTAGGGCTTCATTTCTGGCAAATTTCAATGGAATTTTCGGTAATTGGCTTGGAATAATTAATAAACTATATTATAAATGAATAACTGTAATAGTAGTAACTGTAGGTATTAATTTTGAGCCGCGTTCCAAGACCTAAAATATAATAAATCAAGCATCGCTTGCAAGTATTGTAAAATCATTTGAGTGCCCCTTTGAAATTTTGACAATATAATTGTTGGTCAATTATTGTCATATTGTTTAGAAGGACTTTTTCCAAAAAAAATACCAATAATAATAATAATAATAATAATAATAATAATAATAATAATAATAATAATAATAAATTCATCACCTTAAAGCAAAATCTAAACTCGAATACCCAGAATACCCATTATCTTTCATTCCTCTCTACGAAAATGTGGGTTACGTTCAGAATTCCAAAAGTAATTTATTTTCACATTTGGTTACATCTTTGGGAAAGACCGGGAAAATGTTCGTATTCCGTTGTCATTTTCGTAGTTTAACTTTCAGCTCATAGATCGCACCTCTACGACACTGTTGCAAGATGGCGTGTTGAACTCGTTGCCCACCCGACAGACGACAGTTGAGACGAGGTGTGGGAAGTGTTCTCTGTGTGTCCTGTGGAAATGGGTCACACCCTACTTGTATTTTGTTAGTGTAGCTAATTTTCTGCATTAAAATTGTAATCTTACTGGTTGTCAAGTTATGGACCTTGCGTGAATATTTCTAAGAAGTTTTTGTGTAAGTATAACCCAAGTTAATTTTTGTTGTAGTGTGGCATGTAACCCCTCAATCTTGTTCTTATAGTTTGTCGTATTGTAGAGTTGTGTATCATAAGGGAAGGAGTATTTATGATCTCAGCATTACGTTATTTTAGATTTTACAATGTATTGTTACTGTAAACGACGAACGTGTGTAGTATTTCTTGTCAATTTGCTTGGGCACTGCCTACAATGTCAGATTACGATAGAGGCTGTATTATGTTTTTGTCCGAAATTATGCCGCGTGATCTTTTTAATATCCGAATTTAATGGTCACAATTACGATTGCTTGTGTAGAAAGTCTTATTCTACTTTTCATCATATTTTGGGTATGTC